AACCACTCAAGGTCATTCCGATCATTCTAAGGAAACAGAGATAAATAATAATTGTCATTCCATTATTATTTATGTAACCCTATCTGACCTATATTGATTTTGATTAATGATATAACACATTCATTTAACTTATATGCTTATTCAAGTTAATATAATATGTCAGTTATTTCAATATTAACAATGCTAAATATACTTACTGTTGTAGCGGTAAATACCCCCCCCCTAAAATAAATAGCTCTGTAAGTCTTCAACATTGGACCTGTAGCATCTTCATTGTTACTGTAAACGATGTACTTTTCCTTAAACCTGACTAGTTTTCGAATTAATTGTGGTGTTTGAATGAACTAATGATTCCTTTGTACTTGTTGAATGTTTGATTTTGAATTCTAAATACAGTACATTCGTCATTGCTTATCTAGTACTTCTAGATCCGATTACGTTACTTCTTGGATTCTTAGTTCATACTATAATTCAAATACTCCAAACTATCACATTAATTTGGATGGATAATTATAGAATTGAGAGAATTTCTTGATGACAATATTCTTCCCTAATATACATCTATATTCGTGTTAAAATTTAATTGGGGGAATTTTAAATTATTATCTTGAATAGAATTTACAGTATACACCTATATAAAGTACTGTAGTGAATGAGAACACAGGCGAAAATAACCAAATGTATTTGAATAGGAAATTAGAGAATCTTTTAGTGAAATCAGATAATCATACAGTAAATACATCATTTGTAAAATGTCAATCAATTGTCTCAAACTTGATTATTTCTTCGTTCAATCATTCTCTCTCCTTAGACCTTCTGCCACTAGTCAATTCACTTTTGGTTAGTGATACATACTACTTATATATGTCAACATCAGTAGTACACACCACAGTACAAATACATACTGAATGAATGAATTGTTTGTCTTTCAACCGGAGGAATATTACATTTAGTGATGAGATTCAACTAAAAATCTCTTACATTGACTATGGTAGTTAACATCGCCAATCGCTTACTCCAGTAATTATTAGTAGGATAAGGGTTAATCGGATAACTGAATGATTATAAGACAAATGCTTGAACTAATAACACAAATTCAATCTTAATTGGAATATGTCGTGTTCATTATTCTTCTTCGTGGATTAGTTGAAGTTAGACATAAACACCTTTGGATAACGGCCACCTCAGTGGTCTAGTGGTTAAGCGCTAGCGCGCGAGCCTGATTGGTCCTGGGTTCGAATCCCGTGAGATGGGGTCGTTGGTGCGCACTGTCAAGGAGGGGTCCCACAATAGAACGAAGCGGCCGTCCAGGACTTTCAGGTTTTCCATGGCGGTCTAGTTTCAATTGACTCCCGAAATTACTACAATCTCCACAAAACCCCTTCTGATAGTAACCTTTTCCTTATTGAAAAACCGAAGCTACTTTTTTTATGTAACAATGAAAAACTTACGGTCTACACTTCAAGTGCTTTAAAAGAACATTAATTACTTTGAGTCTTAAACGTTTTTCAATTGATATCCATTTGTGACATGATTAAATGAAGTAATACATTCACCGAACACCTCATACAGCTAAACTTCTGATGTATGGTAATGAAATTAAAGTATGATTGGTCAATGAGCCTGGGTCAAACAGTCACAGCGGTGGGACTATAATTTAAGGACGAACCAATCATGAACAAGATAACAGGTTTCGGCACGAAATTCACTCATCCATTTGGCTAAGTCAAGTTTTGTCATTATAGACGATGTCAGTACGTGATTAAAACATTAAATCTAATTTCCAGCCTTAACCATCAACTGTAAATCATAATTCGAATTCCTCACACAGGTTTATAACCCTTATTTGGTCCTAATTATTAGGTGGACACCCTCAAGGTCACTTTAGCGTTGCTCAAAAGTCGTCCATAAAACATACTTTCACTGTCACAGCCTACGGAGTATTAAATATTTGGTTTAACGTCTTATTGGTGATTTCTATTCTGGACTCTTTATGTGTGACTACTTGTAATTATATTGAATAGGGTATACATTAGTGTTAACCTGGTTCTCTATTCTGGGTTGTGAATCCTGGTTCTGATATAACATGATTAGTCTTATTAACGTATTAACGTAAAGGCGAGGATTGGCAAAGAAAGGGCCGCATTCCTACAGTTGAAGAACATATGCAACTCAAAACAACTGTCACCCAATGTTAAAGTCACTAACTTCAATACGAACGCCAAGACAGTTCTACTGTACGGAGCTGAAACTTGGAGGATTACTACAACCATCATCAAGAAGGTATAAGTATTTATAAATAGTTGTCTAAGCAAGATACTCAACATCGATTAGCCGGATACCATCAGCAACAGCCTTCTGTGGGGGAGAACAAACCAGCTTCCAGTTGAAGAGGAAATTAGGAAAAAACGATGAAACTAAATAGGACATACATTACGGAAATCATCAAACTGCATCACTGGGAAAGCCCTAACTTGGAATCCTGAAGGGAAGTGGAAAAGTGGAAGCCCAAAGAACACATTATGCCGGGAAATGGAATCAGATATGAAAAGGATGAATAACAACTGGAAAGGATTGCATAGGCAGGGTTGGATGGAGAATGCTGATCCGCAGCCTATGTTCCATTGGGAGTAACATGCGTAAGTAAGTAAGTACCATACGTCTAACAGAGGAAAATATTGTAAACCATCAGTTATATTAATGTCGATATATATTAATGAAATGGTTAATTTAAATGAATTCTCAATGTATTAGCTTGAAAATAAAGCGTATTTGGTCGTCTTTTATGGTTACTTGTTCAGTATAACAAGATTATAACAACAAGCAAGATTGTTGTTGTTATTAGATAATTATTTATTTATGCACAACTAATCAATAAGAACAAAGTTGTATATCAACTAAAATTTCACCAAATCAATAAATAAATTTGAATGTTGACAGATAGCACTATTTAATCAATAATTTGGTGTAAGTATACGATTTACAAAATCGATACATCAACTACTTCTAAGTAATCGCTGAGTTATATATTTTAGTTCTGTTATGTCACGATAAGTATGATGAGTAGTAATTTTTGGGATCCATTTAGAGACCAGTACTATACGTATATTTTTGTCGTATAATTGTTACGTAACTAAACTATTCATATTCATGTCGCTCTTATTCTAAGCTTTATTTTGACCTATTAACTGTTATTATACGGTTTACCATTCTTGAGTTATGCCTAGTCTTTCAATTGCAATCTCCCACATTCACAGCCATATTTGGCTAAATCTTGTACAAATGTTACTTCCCATTTTATGGTACGATGTAGTCTGTCTGGACAGTATATAAACCCAGTATGTTTGAAATAAACGATTCATACTTCAGAGGCTGAAATTGGTGTCCTGGACTTAACTGGCTGGTCTAGGCTAGGCGGGAAGCAGGACCGATAAGTACTCCAGACTGCTCGTACGGGTTTTATGCGTCATTGGTTCGATCGATAATTCATTGCTCTCTAATTGGTGGTATCATTACGTTATACATTAGCAGGGCGCTCAGGCCACAAGTTATAACACGTTTTACCTAACAGTAGACACTAACAAAGAAGAACATAAAGCACTGAGCTACTAACAAGTACATTATAACTAACTGGTCATTTGTCATTTACACTCAATCTAAATCTTTCAATTTCTGACTTATTTAATAAAGAGTATTCCCTAACCCTTGAACAAATGAATTGAATGAGGTTCGTAAATAAACTGTGACAAGAACCAACGAAATAAAAATGAATTCATGCTATTCTACTAGAATGTTTGTTCTCGCTCTTTTCAAAATGATAAAGGGAACTATGTGTATGATAGTACTGATTGAATTAAGTACTAGTGTATGTATTAGTTAGTGAATAACTGATTTCTTAAAATGACACTTGAGTCCACATACCAACACTTGACTAACAATATACTCTTGATATATTGCTTGAATTTGAGAAGCTCTCTCCCTCTGACACCAATCATGACTATCAGCTTGTAATTTAAAAATAGTTACAAATAAATCCCTGAAAATTACTTACTAACATTCTATTGGTAAGTCAATCAGAAATGACCTATCGAGAAATCATCGGTGGCAATCAGGAGTGACCTAAAGGTTAATGGCATTTCACTGGCTAAGAAATGGTTAAATTTCCTAAGGGTTAGAGTGATATATTTGAGTATTTTCTTCGCCCAAGTAGTCAGTTAAGGGGTCAGCACGTAGCACACTGTGTATCAGTATCAGATCCCATACACTATCCATCATAATATTGCTATTTAGGAATTCTCAATTTCTGTTTTATTCGTCCTGAAACGCTTCTGTTAGGAGTTGTGAACAAAGAAGTTTTCATTCCTATTGATTAGTTGCTGTTTTAACATGTTGACTTGTTCTTTCCGTACTTGCAGCAAAAGGCTGTATGCTTGATTTATTTTTACTTGGTCTCATTTATTAAATCTTTCTACTACTCAACTATTAATTATAGATAATAGACTTGAACCCCTATTCAGTTAATTTGGTTTTATGCACAATGGAGTCGCATACCACTAACACTGACCTCTAATTAGTGTGTTCAACAAATTCATTATTTCACAGATTGAAATCATGAGTCAGTTGAAGCTAGACCACCATTGAAAACCTGGAAGCACTGGACGGCCGTTTCGTCCTAGTGTGGGACTCCTCAGCAGTGCGCATCCACGATCCTGAACCACGCGGGGCTCGAACCCAGGACCTACTGGCTTCGCGCGCGAGCACTTAACCACTAGACCACTGAGCCGGCATCCAACGGTGTTAATGTCTAACTTCAACCAATCCACGAAGTTGCGCCACCGTACACCATTGTCTTCAGTGAGTTCCTATCTCACAACAGACCTGGTTGAACTCCACTGGTAACGGCTTCTCACTAGAACTTCGGGAGTTTTTCCTGAAGTCAGTCATTCATTATTATTATATGAAGAAAACAAAAACTATTCATAGAACAGAACAAAGTAATTGCAATTTTAGTTTTTTTATGAAAAAAAGTGAGTATATTGGTTATAGTAGTAACCTCACTGTAGACAATTACATGAGACAGACAGATATGGTCTCCAATTATATTGTATATTCACAATAAGTGATTTAGATAATTACATAATATTCCATACTTATGTTTGTTTGTTTCTAGACAAGAATATGGGTCAAGTATAATAACTTGATCGATATAAATAAGTAAGCATTATTATCTTTACAATCTTTAAGAAAAGGATATTGATAATATTTGACCATTAATAATAATGTTGAATTAACTAACTAACTACACTGAATGCAGCAGTTAAAAATTGTTCATAACTAAGTTGTGCCATTCCATTTCGTTGATAATCATAAGGTCTGAATACATCAGTTAAATTCTGTAACAATAATAATAATAATAATAATAATAATAATAATGATAAAATGAATAGTTTAATAGAAGGTAAATGGTATACTGGCTTAAAAAAACAAACAATATCATTAATACAATGAACTTTTTAATTTAAATTAAGTAATTCTCTAGGTACTTAGATATAAGCAACAATCAAAGTGTAAGGTTCAATGACATTACCCGGTGTTGGGATATTCAGGAAACTACCCCAAAAATTATTCTATTAAGTCTAATGCTATTCTTGGACTTGGAGATGGTATTATTCTCTTATTGGTCAGTGCTTATTTTACGTGTCATTTTCCTACTGGTCAATATTGTACAATGTTATTTTCTATTTTATGGTACGATGTGGTCTGCTTGATTAGTATATAAACAGAGTGTGTTTGAAATATAAGGATTCATATATCCGAGGCTGAGACTTGTGTTATGGACTTAACTGGCTGGGCTAGACAGGGAAGCGAGGCCAATCAGAACCCTAGGTCGTTCTACGTGTTTGCGCGTCTTTGGTCCGATCAATAATTCGCTACCCTTTAATCTGCTGCCGTCACAGTTATAACACCCGATTACTTAAATCGAAACAATTAGAGCTAGATTAGAACATGAATTAGAAGTCGAACGTTTTACCCACCAAGCCACTGCTCCATAGTTGTGTAATTAATATCCTTAGCTATTATTATACTGAATTAATGACAATAGTAGAAATGAGTTAACAATGATAAATGAATAATATTATGATTAAATATCATAGAATGTAAAATTTCACAGGTTAGGTTCTTTAGTAAAACGGAGGTTTAGAGATGACTGAAACAGTTTTCAACTAACAGATTTGAATTTCTAGCACCGATGTGATGGAGAAGAATTAAGCCTAATAATTAGATCCTAATTTATTAAAGATCGAGTAACCTACAAGGCTAATATCTAGTAAATGAGTCACAAAGAAAGTGAAATTGATTACACAGTAAGTAAGCAGCTTGACCCAAGGAATTCAACTCATTCCAACGAGAATTATGAATGGTAACCTTTTAGAACTGTTTATGGACCAATACGTTACATATATTTTTATTGTACGATTGGTAAGTAGCTAAACGATGCATATTCGTGTTCCTCTTATTAAAAGCTTTGTTTTGACCCATAGACTATTATTATACGATTTACCGTTCTTGAGTTGTGCCCAGTCTATTAATTACGAGCTCCCACATTCACAGCCATTTTTGGCTAGGTCATACATAAATGTTATTTTCTATTTTATGGTACGATGTGGTCTGTTTGAAATACATGGTCATATCACAGAGGCTGAGATTAGTGTTCTGAACTCAACAGACAGGGAGAAGGACTAATAAGGACTGTAGACTGCTCGTACGGGTTTATGCGTCATCGGTCCGGTCGATAAATCACTGTTCTCTAATTGGCGGTATCATTACGTTATATATTAATAAGACTTAGGTTATAACAATTCAATAAGTCTGACCATGTAACAGTGGGTTAGAAATATATTTAAACAGAGAATAAAACACAATAATGACTGTTTTAGTTCCATATAAAATCGTAGTATGATTATACAAAAAGCTTATTTTCCTTAGACTGCTAGCCTGTTTAAGAATTTACATTATTACATGCAGACACACGCATAATAATTCAAAAGCTGACCATTATATTAAACCATTAAATATAAATGAAAAATCACTATGTGGGGACAAGAATGTACGGACGTCTCTTTATGAATTAAATAAAATAGTGACCACCAATGCTAACTAGAGAATGAATAGTTTTTAATAATGTAGCAAGCATATACAGGTATAAATCGTTACTGCGTACGATGATCAGCTCATATACAACTTGTAGACATTTTTTATCAAATAATGAACACTTAGAATAAGACTGAAAACCAGAGAATAATAAACATTTGTTTTAATCTCCTAATAAGCCTCAAACTAGGAAATCAATAAGTGATTATATAGCCTTCAGTATTCAGTAATAAGGATAGTGGGTCGGCGGACCTGTGTTAATCCTTGCAGCTCGTTTTCCAGTTGAAACACAGCTTCTCTGAAATATTCACTGATGGGACTGATACCATTTGTTCGGAGAGGGTGTTCCAATCATTGGCTACTCGATGAGAAAAACGAAACCCCACTCTGAGTTTACGAGATCGCGGGTTTTGAACCTTCTTGCTATGGCCTCGGATAGGATTAGTTCTGGAGGGAGCGAAAAGATGAGACGTATTGACCCTCAAATTGTTATTAAACATACGGAATGTCAACATCAGGTCACTTCACGTTCTACGATACGATAGGGGAAAAGGTTCAGGAGTTTTAAGCACCCATTGTAAGGGAGATTGGAAATAACCTTCAATAACTTTGTTCCTACACGTTAGACATACTCGAATGTGTTGACAGCAGGCTGCTGTCAAAACATCTATCTGACGTTGCAAGCTCTATTTATTTGGTATACGGCACGTTGAAATCTCCATCGATGAAACAACAACCGGCCTTACTCCAAGAACAGATATGACTTAAGACAAAGTGGACTACAGTATATTTCTCTTAAAGTCACTAATCCAGGAAGGAGAAATAATAAGAAACAGAACTGATAGTCTTTGATATATCTTTCAGTGGGAGATGCAACTGAAAAATCTCTCAAACGGTGAGAAGGAAGAAACGGTAAATACTACAAGAAATACATCAACATTTGAGCGTTCTTATTCATTCTCATCTTCAAAACCTTAATTAATATATCTGCTAATTTGACGAATGATATTGGGTTATAATCCATAAAATTTGTGAAATTAACGACTTATAACTTGCTTCTATGCATCGTCTAGAGTTAACTACAAGCTTCTCAACTTCAGTAACATTTGCAAACCTAATAACGATATAGTATATAAGATGTTGGCGAATAGTGGGTTAGTGAAAAGTACTTGAAGCATGTTCGACTTAATTGAAAACAGAATAAACTACTCTAGGTTGAAAATTTATAGTCCATTCTGCGAAACGTAATGGTAAATTTACACATGCAGCACGATGAGGTGTTGAGGTTGAGCCTCCGGTTACAAAGGATAAGGTAAACAAGTCCCTCATATTGGCTAGGTCAACAAGTACACATGGGTTTCTGTAACACAGTATCCAACAAACGGAAGATATTCTAGGATCTTGGGCTGGTGGAACTATTTTTTCGATTAGAAATAAGGTTAAAACACTGAAAGCATTTGTAGCAATTCCTACTTATGGACAAATATATTAATCTAACCTTTTTGAGTTACTAGGTACACATATGTTTGACCTTGTCAGCTGTTCACTTATTACCTTCAGAGAACTTGTATGTACATATATTTGTCTATCACATATTCTATTCATTAACTATCTTTAGCTTGCTTTTATCTATACGAAGCAATGCAGAATCACACTCATGGAAATTGAGTAGGCTCGTTTTGCTTGCTCTTACCTGCATATTCTTATTGTCTGTCCGAAAAACGGATTAATTTGTCTACCAGAAAGTCAGCACAAATCACATAGGCGTGTAATAATATGAATTGTTACAGAGTGGCTTGCAGTATGTAGCACAATTTTAGCAGAGCGGCAGTAACACATCGTAAAATTAAATCTTTAGAATCGGTTGCGCATTAGAAGGAAAATAAAGTCAAAGTGAAAGATTAACAAAGGGAATGGAAGGAAATTTAGAAAACATTGGAGACAGTTATTGATTATCCCGAGTGATGTTAAAGTACTGACAATCAATAGTTCTCAAATGCTTTAATCATGAAAGAGGACTACTCGATGAAAGAGAAGAAAAACCTATTTGAGTATCAATGACCTTTTAGGTCACGGAGCTTGACCGAGAAGCTCAATAGATAACGAGTTGATCGTCTTGCTAATAGTATTTTTCGCTACATACGCTTTATACTTTCCATAACTTTCAGGAGGGATCAGAAATCATTAATCAAGGGAGTGTATGCTCTGTTTATGGTTGAATGTTTGTAATTTCTTTTTCTAGCTGTACACCATTACTGGGGGTGTTAATAATCCATCCGAAACATGTGAAACCTATTACACTACAAGACAATCAAGAGCATAACTTTGATATCTGACTTTAGATTTTCTGCTACCCCACGGAATTTTTGGCATGATAAGATCTCGAGCAACAAATTCCTCGGGTTATATATAGTCTCAGTCATCATGACAAGCAAACATAAAGTAAAAACTGAAAGCAGAAGTTATGTCGCATTTCAGAACAAATACATATCTAGCTTTCAAATTTGGTTAATCATAAAGAAAATAAGGACGTGGGCCAAGTCAAGTTGCCACACTATACATCATCAGGGTAAGTTGGACGAGATGAAAAGCAAAGTAATGAAAACATTACCGATAGCCGAAGTGATTACGATATTCCAGAATGTCAGAACAACTCACATTTCTAACACGATAAATAAGTTACACAGGTATTTTTAGGCCTTTTATCTTTATTTATTTTCGTATATCTATCATTAAAACGGTTTGACGCACAAAAATAGGAAACAATATGGAAGATAAAATTTTGAAACTTACCTTTAAACAAACACATGCCAAGATAAAATTATCAAATCCTACTGATCCGCGGCGATTTTTATCGAATTTTCTAATTAAGAATTGTGAGAATTCTGGAGACAATCGATAACCAAAGCTTGTTAAAGCAGTATGAAACTCTCGACAGTCGATTGTACCGGATCCATCTCTGTCATATGATCGAAAACATTGTTGCCACTGTTGTACGTACTCAAATAATTGAGAGAATTCATAGACATTTATAGTGCCATTCATATCTTTATCAAACATACATATCATCAGTTCAATCGTTTTGATATTGAATGATGTCCCCAATCCTGTTTTGTGTGGGAGTTGTTAAGGTTAATATTTCGGAAAAAATAAAAAAATCACAAGGATGCTACAAAATTAAACTATAAACAGAGAATCATATAATACAGTTGCCAAATAATTACATTTACGTGAGAAATCGATCAGCGTAGAAACAGATTTTTATCGAACAGCGAACCTTACAATCAGCAACAGTCAATAAGAATAAAAACCTTGTTAAACGAGTTAATTATGGATTTAATCCAATCAAATCGTTCCAGTCAGTCAGTCAGAAAAATTAGGGTTTGAAGATGTTATTCAAGGAGTATAATCCAGTGAAATAAATTTGGAAAGAGGAAAAAAGGGACGTGAAGAATTCAGAAGATTAGAATCTGGGAGAACACAAAGAGTGGATGCACCTGCGCCATTGCAAACGATTTTGAGCCATGTCATTCAGGGTCTCTAATCATCGGTTGCTATCATCTCGTGGTCCCCAACCAGGTAGTCTACACCTATCAACATGGTTCAGTCCACTCTTCAGTGACTTCATGGACTTGTGCCGTGCTTTGGTCTGGCCGCCCCTAGCTTTCTTCCAACCTACTCCTACACCATAAAACATCGCACGTCAAGGCAGTCGGTGGTTGGGCATGCGTAATACGTGTTCCAGCTACCTCAACTGATGACGTTTCACTAATTCATCAATTGATTTGCCATTCTTACCTAACACCCGTTTCCTAACAAATATATTACTTACTCGGTAGCCACAGTATTAGCAATGAGATTAACCGAGGTCTTAGGTAAAATTTGGGAACTGGACGTAATCCCATCTGACTGGTCTCAATCACTGATTGTGCCAGTCTATAAGAAAGGACAAAAGTCCTCTTGTGACAATCACAGAGGAATCAGTTTGACTAATATCGTGTCTAAAATATTAGCCTCAATAATACTTCGACGCCTAACCTAAGCTCGCGAAGAGCAAACTAGAGAAAATCGGGCTGGTTTTTGACCTGAACGTGGTTGTATATATCAAATATTCACACTACGTCAGGTTCTAGAACACAGACACACATTCAGCTTCCCCACAATGGTAGTATTTCTCGACCTTAAGGCAGCATTCGACTCTGTTGATCGTGAGGTTCTGTGGCAGTGTTTGTCACTGAAAGGAGTACCAAAGAAGTACATTAACCTTGTAAAGGACCTCTACTCGAACACAACTGGTTGAGTGAGAGCTTATGACGAACTGTCATCCGAATTGATTACCTCAAGTGATGTTCGTCATGGCTATCCATTCTATACATTCTTGTTCAACTTTGTGATTGACGTACTTTTAGAGATAACACTCTCCTCATCTAAATTTCCAGGGATTGAACTTCTACCAGGAGGTTTACTTGTTGACTTAGAATATGCCGATGACATAGTTCTATTTGGTGAAGACACTGACAAAATGCAGTCTTCTGACCACTCTAAGCAACAATGCAAGCATGTTTGGGATGCGATTCTCCCCCTCGAAATGCAAAATGTTGCTTCAGGATTGGATGGCATCGGCACCTGAACTAGTGATAGGGAGTGAAGTAGTTGAGTGTGTCGACCGCTTCACTTATCTTGGAAGTCTCATCATCCCTTGTGGTCTGGTGTGTGACGAAATCTCAGCACGGATACAGAAGGCTCGACTAGCTTGCTTTCGCCAACTTGCGTCATTTATGGCGTAGGTGAGATATCCGTCTATCAACCAAAGGACGTGTTTACTGCGCAGCTGTTCGTTCCGTCCTACTTTATGGCAGTGAAACATGGCCGCTAAGAGTAGAGGATATTCGTACGTTACTAGTATTCGATCATAGGTGTCTTCGAAACATTGCTCGTGTATCATGGGCCCACGGAGTAAGTAACGCAGCTGTTAGGGAACGGGTAATAGGTAAGGATGGCAAATCAATTGATGAAGTAGTGATACTTCATCAGTTGAAATGGCTGGGACACGTGTTACGTATGCCCTACCACCGACTACCTCGACGTGCTATGTTCAGTGGTATAGGAGTAGGTTGGAAGAAAGTTAGAGGCGGCCAAACCAAAACATGGCACAAGTCCATGAAGTCACTGACAAGCGGACTGAGTCATGTTGATAGGTGTAGACTACCTGGTTGGGGACCACGAGATGATAGCAACCGATGATTAGAGACCCTGAATGACATGGCTCAAAATCGTTTGCAATGGCGCAGGTGCATCCACTTTTTGTGTTCTCCCAGATTCTAATCTTCTGAATTCTTCACGTCCCTTTTTTCCTCTTTCCAAATTTATTTCACTGGATTATACTCCTTGAATAACATCTTCAAACCCTAATCTTTCCGATTACTGCTTATACTCTTGCTACCTCTACCACTACGGGATTTGAATCGACAACTGCATCTCTGTGCTAATGTGGTGTGGCAACTCGAACGGATGTACGTAGGTACGAAGTTCTACGTTGTTACTGACTGACTGGCTGACGGTAGCCCCAGGATATACGAACAACCCTTCGAAGACACCTATGATCGAATACTAGTAACCTACGGATATCCTCTACTCTTAGCGGCCATGTTTCACTGCCATAAAGTAGGACGGAACGAACAGCTGCGCAGTAAACACGTCCTTTGGTTGATAGACGGATATCTCACCTACGCCATAAATGACGCAAGTTGGCGAAAGCAAGCTAGTCGAGCCTTCTGTATCCGTGCTGAGATTTCGTCACACACCAGACCACAAGGGATGATGAGACTTCCAAGATAAGTGAAGCGGTCGACACACTCAACTACTTCACTCCCTATCACTAGTTCAGGTGCCGATGCCATCCAATCCTGAAGCAACATTTTGCATTTCGAGGGGGAGAATCGCATCCCAAACATGCTTGCATTGTTGCTTAGAGTGGTCAGAAGACTGCATTTTGTCAGTGTCTTCACCAAATAAAACTATGTCATATCAAATTGTTTCACTTTAGTGTTTATGTAAACCAAACAGTTAACTACCTGTTAATAACGAGCACATTTTATTGGGTTTGCGTAGTCAGATGAAACTATATATGATCCTCTAAAATTTCCCATAAAGGCCTTGCGTGACAACTAAGGGGGAATTAGTTTGGTCAGTATGAATTTCAAGGTCTGTTTTAAGAATCAAAAAACGGTTGGTTAGATTTCTTCAAAAGCAAACCTTCTGCATATATGCAACCTTTAAACCTAATCCTAGAAGTACTAAATGACGTTTTAGTCTTAAGCAACTTTTAGAACACAGGCTAAAAGTTATTTACCGAAGTTTAATTGGTCTACTTAAAACTAGTGATGAACTGACATTTTGGTCGACTTTTTTCTTTATGGAGGTGACTCATAACTTATCTGAGTCTCCAACGACTGGTTCCACAATTGAAGACAGTCAAGTCATCTGGCTACGGAGAAAATATATTCTGTTTTAGTCGAGAGTGTAATATAACATTGTAGCCCAGAAAGAGCAAAATATATGCGAATAATGCCTCCAACCAGAACCTTTCATAACTTCATTCTGATGTGCGCCCATATGAAACTAAAAAGCAATTAGCGCAGTTGAGCTATTACCAGGGCACGAAGTTTACGGTTATATGAAGTGAACGAGCGTAGCGTAATAAATGCGAACATCGATACTTGATTATGTAGACTCGAATGACGATGTTTTATGCTAACTCCAGTTAGTTTAAGTACGGATACGCCAGCTTTTTTCATCGCCGCTGATAAGTACAAATGAAACTCATCAGTTCAAACTATTAAAATGATAGAGGTGTGTAAGCTTATTGAGCATCTCAGTGACAAACTAGTGTCAAAGCCACTGGTTTTTCGGCGTGACTTCTTGTTTTACCTGAAAAACCTTAAGTCAATACTCATGAACAACAACGAAGGGTTTTTTTATTAAGCAAATATGTTACATTTCTCTCAAGAGCTGGACACTGACGAAAAAAGGAAATAGTTTGTCGACAAGTGTTTCAAACTAACCATCAGTTTCTGTGAGGTGGATAAGTTTCACACAGCCAGGAAAACTTACTTGTGAACCAATGCATTTTACAGTAAATGCCGGTACTAAGTGAGTGTAAACAATATAAAATCTGTGTCCAAACAGCCAGTCCATGTCTTATTCAAGATACTAACACATTCAACTGTGTCTAACGTGTAGGAACAAAGTTATTGAAGGTTATTTCCAATCTCCCTTACAATGGGTGCTTAAAACTCCCGAACCTTTTCCCCTATCGTATCGTAGAACGTGAAGTGACCTGATGTTGACATTCCGTATGTTTAATAACAATTTGAGGGTCAATACGTCTCATCTTTTCGCTCCCTCCAGAACTAATCCTATCCGAGGCCATAGCAAGAAGGTTCAAAACCCGCGATCTCGTAAACTCAGAGTGGGGTTTCGTTTTTCTCATCGAGTAGCCAATGATTGGAACACCCTCTCCGAACAAATGGTATCAGTCCCATCAGTGAATATTTCAGAGAATCTGTGCTTCAACTGGAAAACGAGCTGCAAGGATTAACACAGGTCCGCCGACCCACTATTTTTCATTACTGAAGACTAACATGAAGAAATACGAATGCATTCAACAATTTGTAAACTAACCGTTGGATAATGCCTGCTGCAATTCATTCGCAGTTATGGCTCCCTTTCTGTTTCTGTCAATTCTATCATGGGGATTTATTGTTAGAAAACCCAAGTTATACTTACTGGTTGAATACGTTCGCAGCCACACTACTTACGCCGGGCTGTTGCATATTCAAAAGTAAGTAATTGTCAGGGTCAAATAACTGAAACAACGATAGCATACAAAAACTCAGTCATTAGATAAAAACATTGTTACGAATAAATTAGAGTATCAGTAACTCCTTATATTCGCATCCGCGTCATCTTGTTTGGTTCTTGAGTGTACGGAAAGTGTATGGCGGCCTGCTTGAATATCTGGGCCACCTATTCCTCTGACCTAGATATGTTTTCAAGATATCTGTTTTGTTGTTTGTTTTAGCACATCATTATGTCTTTTGTGCTCACAATCTATTCAGACGCGTTTATGAAAAGTTTACAGCCTTTCGCCATACGGGATACAAAAAGGTACAATCAACGACATTATGGTGGCTGGCAATATGCATTGAAACGAATGAACATTAATCAAATTTGGATTACCGAACTCCTAACATCTAACTGGTCATCATTCAAAATTTATCGTCACAATCGATCAAGATATAAGAATAGGAAACTTGTTGAAATACTTTATGCTGAGTATTCTATGTTGTGCCAAAAATATAATGTTGAATAAAGCTCCTAATAATAAAATAAGTAAATAAGAAATACAGATCCTTCATATCGATCATTCAAGAAACTTAGATTTCAGAAGTTTTGTTAAGAGAAGTGTGTAGTGGTAAAAAAATCCCCCAAATCAGTAGCTCTATAAGTCCTCGACATTTTATGCCGACCACGTTGGTTCTAATGGGCTCACCTAGCTGAAGGCGCTTGGTCACGCGTCCGCATCAGATCGCGAGTGGGAACGCTGTGCTCAACTTCTCCTGCAACCGCTAGCCAGTTTAGATCATTCGCTTCTTGATATATTGATAACCTGACGATTATATATTCGAACCTCCTCACTTCTGACTTTTGACTTTACTGAGTGATCACTATTCAACTACAGGTTTCGCTGATTAAAGTGTTGTCAAACTAAAAATACCTGTAACATCTTTAAGTGAATAAGTCAAGGGATCTAGAACTATTGAATTTCGTAAAATTTGTAATCATGTACAGGCTTGAAGGTCTGAATAGGATAAACTGAGGTTAGAACTACAATTAGATCGTGAGGTGGATTTCATAGCTTCCGAATGTGGTGTATTTCGTAAGGTATGTTACATGGTGAAATATCTGTAGCGCTCTCCTATGGTTTACCTGAGTGTACTAGCTATCAGCCATTAGAATCAGCCGAACAATTTATGCTATAAAAGCTGGTCAAAAGGAGACTGTTAATCAATTTCTTAAGACAGCTTAATAATTGGCATTATAGTAAGCCCATTATATTATTTTACTACCCACTTGTTGCGATTTAGACATTTGGTTCACTATGTAATAGTGTACAATAGTCTGTTTGAAACCATATATGTATCTCAATCATTATCTATCCTTTAACTGATTACAAGATTGAACAATCAATAAATTTACCCACGTATCTATTAACGTATATATGCTTCGAATTTTTACTCACTCTTTCACTTCCCAGCACTCTGGTCTGCCTGCAAATTTCATTTATGACCATGAGCACATTCTACCAACAGCTGCTGTTCGAGCAATTGCATATTCTCGAGTAAATTTACAATGCTATCAAGAGAATTCACTCATTAAAATACACATTGAATGGGACAATAAATATTGAAGTCAATTTGAAAGGGATTAACCTCCACAAAATTGGTGGCTTCTTCAACATTACGGAGTGCCTGATAAGATAGTCAATATCATACGGAATTCTTATGATGTATTAAACTGCAAAATCGTGCATGGAGTGCAGCCGACAAACTCGTTTGAAGTAGAGAACGATGTCAGGCAAGGTTGCTTACTTTTGCCCTTTCTCTTTCTCCTCGTGATCGACTGGATCATGAAGACGTCAACATCTGGGGGAAAGCATGAGATACAACGGCCAGTTAGGATGCAGCTGAACAATCCAGACTTCGTAGATGATCTGGCTGTTCTATCGCATATGCAACAACAAATGCACGAGAAGACGATCATTGTAGCAGCAGCCTTAGCGGTAGTAGATCTCAGAATACACAAACGGAAAAGCAAGATTCTCCGATACAACACAAAATGAACCGATCAAATCACACTTGATAGAGAAGCTTTGGAAGATGTATAAACCTTTACATATGTGGGCAGCATAAACGATGAACACAGTGGACCTGTAGGGCCAGCGAAATGTCACTAAGCCCTAGCCAGATTATCCGGCAGTTGGATAGTTGAATATCGAACAAATCATCGATCCTCTCAAGGTCAAGGCCAACCAACATACATAAGTTAATCGTATGCCATGGACTGACCCATGCGGCAGTGGTCTTACTTTCGATTGTATCTACTTTAACTAATATATTTCTGTAATAGCGTCCCCTGTGTTGTACAGTCTTCAAAGCATCTATGGTACCTTGATACGTCGATGGAGCAGCCCACGTAAGGTGCTGACCATGGGGTGTGACTTGGACAATAGCTAGTTTGTCATACCATTCATGTCTAACTCCAGTAGACCTCCAATCATTTCGATATAGATCATCTACGTTGGCGATTCACAGACATGATGAAGATGTGAATGTGTGGATCAGTAAAGCAAGGGCAGCATATCTACAAGTGAAGAACATCCGGGACTCAAAACAGCTGTCTATCAACCGACATGAAAGTCCGAATTTTCAATAGAAATGTCAAGCCAGTTCTACTGTATGGGGCGGAAACCTGGAGAACTACAAAATCCATCATCCAGAAGATGCAGGTGTTTATTAACAGTTGTCTACGCAAAATACTTCGGATCCGTTGGCCGCACACTATTAGCAACAACCTACTGTGGGGGAGAACAAACCAGATCCCAGCGGAGGAAGAAATCAAAAAGAATCGCTGAAAGTGGACAGGACACACACGGAGGAAAGCACCCAACTGCGTCACAAGACAAGCCCTCACATGGAATCCTGAAGGCCAAATGAGAAGTGGAAGACCAAAGAACACATTACGCCGGGAAATGGGAATAGACATGAGAAAAATGAACAAGAATTGGATGGAACTAGACAACAAGGCCTGTGACAGAGTGGGTTGGAGAATGCTGATCGGTGGCCTATTCTCCACTGGGAGTAACAGGCATGAGTAGCTAAGTAATGAAATTTGTGAGCTGCAGTTACAACACGCACCATTTCTCGGAAATTTTTTTACACATTGTGAACAGTTTTATATTAGAATTATTATCAAAATTGATAACAATTTGTTGACACTGCTAATTAACTCAGTTATGACATTATTTCTTTGCAATTATTACGTTATACTCGCATATACAAACTCACAGTGGAAGTTATTTTCTATGAGTCCTCTGTTGCTTGCTGTTGCCTCATTTTCATATCGCAATCCTTGGCTTATTATTTTCGCTGTTGTTACTATTGTTATTTGTCCGTATAATATTGCTTAGTAAAGCTGTAACCCCCCGATCTAAATCCGCTTACGTGGGTGCCGTACCTTTATTTGTTCTTCCAGTTAACTCCATAAAAGGTGGATTCTGATTTACGAGGCTAGAAATCTTTTTTGTTGCACATGGAAACACAAGTCTAGACGCAGAATATATTTACCAAAACCTGTTATTGCCAAACGACATTGTAGAACAAAGTGTTAGCCCAATTTTCGAACCATATTCGGATACCATATGATAATTTAAAAAGAGAGGTCATTCGCGTCAAATCTCTGACCAACCAGTAGACAGTCTACCAACTTTTGGCTAGCGTACAGCATACACGTTCACAGTTGAAACGGGACACAACGAGTATGCTGAGGAATTTTCTTATAGACAAACGCCTAATTTATCAGTTGTAGGCCAAACATATTCCTTAAGACATTCGATTAACATTGGGCATTGGACCCAAAGAAGTAGATGATGGTGAACGAGCAGACTTAGCCGATGAAATATATATATGGTAGGCAGTTCAGAATCTTTCGATTCCGACGAGCGTAATAAGATAACTGGGAAATCCAGATTCCAACTGGCGTCCACAGTTTGTAGTAATAGTTGAATGGCAGCCGAAGTTTGCCACCCATCGTTCGACGGAGGTAAGGACCACTGTTTCATTAGCGATTTCTCTGATGGATACTGCCTCTAACCATCGTGTGGAACGGTTTGCACAGGTTCAGAGTCAATTGTGTTCATTGGAATCTGGTAAATAATAATAATAATAATTTATTCTCAAATAATAGTTTGTTACATGAGGCATGGCAGTTTACCGGCAAGATCAAATTGATACAAATGGGTCCTACCATTTAAGGTGAACTTGGTCGAAAGAGCCTAAGGGACATTTGTTGTGTCCAATCACCTTAGATTTCTGGCGGCTTACGCAGAAGTGTACCCGATTCATCACCTTTTTATCCCTAACGATCCAGGAAAACCGTTCTGCTATGAGTTTGACGGTTGCTCAGACATCTGGATGAGAAAGTTGTCGCTAATATTCCGGTGATGATGTCACAGGTATTCAGTGTTTGACAACGCTTCTACCAGTAACACCTTCTAATATATTTCGTTCCCACCCAGAGAAGTCAAAAGACAGAGTCGAGGAGATCGGAAGAGTATATTTGGCGATTACCAATATATCGGAATTCTCTGATCTAATCTGGCTAGCGATTGCGGTTGATGTTGAGCACAGCGTTACCACACGTGATCTGGTGCGGATGCATGACTGAGCGCCTTCAGCTAGATGAGTCCACTAAAACATATGGTCAACATCCAATGTCGAAAACTTACAGGGCTATTTATTTTGGGGATTTATTTACCGCTGAAGATCACTCCCCCCTTTGTGGGGCAGTGACAACCCTAAGACGTGGCCAGCCAGAAGTTTAAACCCAACGAGTTTGTCGTTGGCAAACACTCTTCTGATAGCTTACTAAGTTTAGCAGCGTCTGGTCGTCTTTCCTTACTATATGGGACCGAGGTACAACATAGTAAAAAAGAGAAAAAGTTACAACGAAAATTTCGACTCCTCGTAAACTGCATCGTTCTTTTCCAGCCGTCCTGGAAAAGAAAAAAGAAAATGTAAGTGCATGTCGAAATACACTCGTATGTGCGTAAACACACAATGTCGGCGAAAAAAATGGAAAATAAACTCAAGCACACGTAATAGCGTTAAAAAATGTTTTTTTGTTTTTTTAAATAAAAATATA